AAAAAAACTAAGAAAAAACAAGTTAAATGTGCAAAAACATGAACAGAAGCTTCAAACATTATTTCACTGAACGTCTTCATAATAATGTCTTAATGCAATCTGGCAGTGATCATACATAAATTTAAACATCTTATATTCAGGTTTTTCAAACTAATATCAGTAAAAAATAAATCTAACACTACTGAATGTTGTTTTTTGTGTGTCTACTTTACTGTATGTCTTCATATTGATTTATGTCTAACTCTTGCTGTGAAATAAGCACATTGTCAATTTTTGTCTAGAAATAAACACGAATACACTTTTGAGCAAACACAGAGTGGAAAGTGCTGATTGGATGATCTACATGATAAAATAAATCACAGGGAGTAAAAGACAGTGAGGTGGCTTTGTTTTATTTATAATATTCTGTATATCCTGCCTTAAGCGAGCAAATTCTCTAAAATAACGTGCTGACATTGCACGTCATCATCACCATTTTAGTGCAGGGTGTTAGCATGCTAACAATTGCTAATTAGCACTTAACACAAAGCACAGTAAAGGCAGGTGGGAATGTTGTGGTTTGTCACATAGACTGAATATAAAGATGGACGACATGACTACTTCCCCCTGAAGTGAAGCCAACACGTCTCGTTCTGCCCCTGGTGGCTGGCTGCAGTATAGGTTAAAAAAAGAAATCACGCCTCCTCCATGTTAGCAGATGGGACACGTCGAATACATTTTTCTAAAAGAAGGTTTCTGATACTAGGTCGGTCTTATCACACTGAGGTTTTTTAAGGTGTGTGTTTTTCTAGTAAGTTTGGTTTTACTTACGTCATGATTGACAGTTGAGATTTACTTGTGACTGGTCAAGCATGTGTATGGCTATGGCAAATGTTATGTTGCTGAGATATTTCATTCTAAAAATATGTGGTGGAACAATCAGTAACAGATTGTCGTTCCTCGGGCACTGCTGGAGAAGTTAATATAATAATCCTCCATTTATGTAAAAATATCTGATCCAGAAATGTGTAGGATTAATGACAAATGAGTCATTACACCTCAGTGGGGCCTGTTTTCCATTGAAGATGTGTGACAGCAGTTCTTCAGATTTCTGCGGCTGACCTTCTCTGAGTCCTGAATCCCTTCTCATTTCATCTGCACGAGACTGAATCACTGTCGTCTCAGGATGAGCTATGAGCTCCTTCAGCGCCAGAGTGTCTGCTTTGTTTTCCTTAGAAACGAAATCATATGTCAGTGTCGTGCTAATGGCAGCGCGCTTAGATGAAAATGTTAAAAAGCCGTCACTCAGCTCTGAGAGATGCTAACCTGACAAAACAGAGCCTTTTTTATATCCCTTTTGAATCTCAACAGTCAGTCGGCTGATTCAATCAGTGGGCACAGAGAGCCTGAGAGGTGGTGGGCAGAGAAATTGGGCCAGAGGTTAATATGTTTTTTGCCACGTCATGTTTTTACTTCTCAAAGCAGAATGAAAGCATTAACACATTAGTGTTACAAATTTGTTTTCCTCTGCTTTTAATGTTTCCCATATATGCAGCTGTAAATGGAAAAGCAGAATATCACCAGTGTCGCAGGTTTCTGTTGCGTTATCTGGATATAAAGCATTCTTTAATTCATGTAGAGCATGAGCAGAGATTCAGCAAGGTGTGATGTGGCTCATATAAGATTAATAAATAAAACTATCTATATCTCATTTCCCTGTCTGATATGTGTAATTGTGCTGGTGTGATTTCACTTGAGGAATCAGAGCTGTTTATCTAGCTGGGGAAATTATCTTTTGATTGTAATATCTAATGTTGCAGTACAACAGCTACATCAGCCCCTTGTAATCACCATCTAATTTTATTTTTCTTTAATCTGCACTCATTAACTCACAATTCACTGTCCGACATCACCCAACCTCTGCTGCATGTAGATCCACGGTCAAAGCTTTTGCTGCAGTCGAGCGAGTGAGGATGGCGTCACCGAGGCGAACGTGCACGCTAACTGATCCCGTTGTTTGAGAGAAGAATATTAACGTGACCCTCATAGAAATGGCCTTAGGGCATAGATAATCTAATTTAGCTTGAGTGATGTTGCCTGTCATTAGCAGATGAACACAGGCGGGTCTCTCTGAAGGCTTTGCAATCTATTCAGCTACGGGTAAAATTATCCACCAATTAAGGTTGTTTTTCATCCTGGAATAAAAATCCTAACAGGGAAGCTTGCAGCTGTAATTGAAGTTAATCGCTGCTGCGTTTCGACATGTCACTCCTGATTTCAGCAAGAGTGTGTGTATGTTTCTGTCATTGCACAGTGTTGAAAGTTTGCCAGTAAAATTTCTGGTGATGTTGATAACAAATCCTTCTTGCCAGGTGCTGTCATCCGTTTCCTGTGTTTCACCTCGCTGTTCGGCTGACATGCAGCAATCCCTCCATGTGTGACTCGCTGGTATCGTCAATAATGCGTCACCACTGGGGCACTCGTTGCTTGGAGACTTAGCAGCTGTGAGGTGTTCGGTCGTTCCAGTCTCCAGGGAACCGTGCAGCAAATGAAGCAGGTCAGAGGGTCACCCAGTAAGACAGGCTGTATTATTACACACTTAAGAGACAAGCGGTCGCTCTCACAGCCTCGGCGAAGGGATTCGTCTTGTGGGAGAAAAAGCAGTTTTGCTGCAAATGCATCCAGGTGGAACGTGATAATGAACACAACTCTCATCTCCTCTCAACCCCTGCTGTGGGGTTTCTGTTATTTTAAGATAGAGAGTGAGATGATTTGTCTTTGATGATCAATTTCCTGGCTCAGTTAACTACTGATGGTGTTGGAAGGAGGCACTTTGGTTGTCTCACATTAACTACAAAGTGTGAGACATCAGACTCAATGTGTGAGTTTCTGCCCAGCAAGTACTTTTCCACACCGAAACATGAACACTTGTTTTGAACAAGTGACTTTCCCTTTCCTTCTCTCTCTGCTTTACAGTCACACACACACGCACGCACGCACGCACGCACGCATCATCATGAAACCCTGTCCCTCCACTTCTTCCTTTAAACGTCCTGCCATTTAATGTGTTAAAAAGCCAGAGACGTGTGAGCGTTGTCAGGGCTGAAAATGGGCCAGAGTCCTGTCTAAAGTGGGGCACAGTGGTTTATAAAAAGCTTGTCCATTTACTCAAGTACTTCATGGGGAGATGGCTGATTATGCCTCTGAGATGTAGCATGTTTTTACAGTTTGTTAAGTGTATATATTTCTATTAGACAAGATAGTTAAGGAGAGAAAAACTCTGGGAACGACAGGCAGTGAAAGGTCAATCTAAGCACAAGCAGGCCTATTTGAGTGTGAGCATTACAAAATCTGAATGTGAAATCAATAACTCCTGCTCTCTAACTAAAAGACCAATCTCTTGAATAAAGAAAAAACCCATAGGGGAAATGCTTTATCTCGATGCTTCTGTAAAATATCTACTCAAAAACCAATCTGATTTAAAATACAGAAACCAACTAAACCTCCACTTTCAGAGGTCTTTTTTTTCTGTCTTTCCAAATCTGGATCAGCTTCTGGTATCAGGTGGGACCCTTGCCTCAAACCATGACTGCTGATTGGCTGAGTATGTAGATCAGCTCATTCAGACGACAACTAATAAAGGAAATCGCACCCCCCCACACACCCCAAGGAGTCCCCTGGCACTCAGAGCCCGAGACGACTGAGGCTGGTAATGGATCCGACTGATGGAGAATATGAGGGAGATGTGACAGAGAATGTTCTGGACAAATAATGGATTGATATCAGTATCTGGAATGATAGAAATACTGATCAGGACTGTCAAGTATTGCCATGAGTTTGCAAACATTGTCATTGACCGTGTTGTTAGAAGTGCAGAACTGGAACCCTCAGAACTAATGCACTGTCAAATGAAAGTGTCTGATCGTGACCCAACTCCTGTCAATGGTCGAGTAATAGGTGTAATAGGTGTAATAGGTGTAAGCACTTCCCGATACATGTTCATCTCGAAGCTGAATGGCCTAAGCTTGCCAAAAGCAACTGGGGAGGGAGAGGAGGAGAGAGGTAGAAACTAGGGCACTGTTATCTGGCCCCCTTTTTTTTTTTTTTATACCAACCACCAGGCTCAAGGCAGAGAAAGAGAAGAAAAGAGCTGTAGACAGGAGAACAGAAGAGACGAGAGGACAACGGTGTAAAGTGAAGCTTCAGACAAGACGAGGAACCTCTGGATTCAACATCTGGCATCAAGGACCGGAAGAAAAACAAGACACAGGCAACCTTGACTGTCCTTACCATCACACAGACACATTGGGCAGCAGCATGTTTGAGGAGCAGGCGACCAAGGTCAAGATCACTTCTGTGGTGATCGTGGTGGGTATGTCGTCGATGCTGGCGGCGGTGGTGACCGACCACTGGGCCGTGCTCAGCCCACGCGTGGAGAAGCTCAACGCCACCTGCGAGGCAGCCCACTTTGGCCTGTGGAGGCTCTGCAAGAAGAGCATCTTCATCGTGGAGGAGGACCCCCAGGGCAAAGGTTGCGGCCCCATCAGCTTACCTGGAGGTATGGAAGCATGGCAGAAATGTAAGGGCTAAGCATCTTTATTTGTTGTATAGCTGCAGACTGACAAGCTCCTCTGACTCAAAACCACTTTTTTGTTTTTTTTTGGACTTGAAGAGGTAAAGAAATATTCATGCTGCAGTTCTTCATGTATCAGTGTAAAATTGAAGGTCAAAGAAGATACAGACTTAGGAGCTGAATATGAGGTCTATGCTATCGTCTATCTGCTCATCACAGTTATAATTAAGCCTTGATGTTGACATCTCCACACTTTAAAAGTTTTCCTTGTAAACGCACCAGAAACAGTCAAAACTAACTGCAATTCATTTTTCCATAAGTCCTCAACAGTCTCGCTGTCAGTGTCAGTATATATTACAGCCTCTCCTTCCACTCATCCTGTTTTCTCCCCTCTCACAAACATTCTAACACACATGATTGGTGTGTGCACATGTTCGAGCGCACACAAAACCCTCTCTTTCTCACTCTCTGGACTGAGTGTGGAACAGTTCTATAGCCGGCGTCTCACTGAACCATCATCATGTTCGAGAGAGAACGTCTCCGAACTGACTGCCAATTAAGCTCACTCAAACAGTTGAAGTCAAGTGGGTAATGGAAGCATATTGCAGCCATACTTCACATTTAATGCGACAAAAACACGAGCCGTGTCTGTCTGCTGTCACAGACTCTACATGTACGACCAGCAAGGCCCATATTTCTTTCATTTCCTCTGTTACACCTTCTTCTGAGCCATTTGATCACAGCAGGAGGCGTTACACTATTTGTCAGCATGCTGTTGAACTAAGTTATGAGATCATAAGATGCGTTTTAATGTCTACGTCTCTTGCTCAGTGTGATTCGCAGTTTCAAAGCAGACCTGAGGATTCACTTTGATCAACAGGGTGACCGGAGAGCAGTTTTCTAAGGAAGTCACTTAATGTGAGCAGTATTTTCTGGTGCCACTGACAAGCCCCGCATTTTGTAGCCACACTCACAAGCTAATTACAAGCTATAAAAAAAAAAGTGGTGCAAAAAGTGATCTTGGAGAAACAAACCAGTTTTGTAAAGTAATCTCCCTTCCTTTAATTGCATTGCATACAGCAGGGAATTAAATTTATAAGTCAAAAAAATGTTCTGTGAAGCTTTTAAAAAGCTCCACAATAGTCTTACAACTTTAATCAGAAGAAAGCCAGCCCTGAGGTACACAGTATCTCGTTGGCCACTGGCTGTGTGTGCGCGTGCCTTTCAGCCTAAGAGAGAGATTTCACTCTGACTCTGTCATTGACTTCGCCTGCAGCACCTCAGGATCAGTACAGGCCTTAATGAAGTGTGGCTTCCCACTCCAGCTCATGAGTTAGAGTGCAACTGGGAGCCTCAGGAGGGATGAAGGGGATTGGGGATAAGAAAGCTGAAGTGTACATGGGTGGTCAGAGGCAGGGATGCCATTGTTGATGAGGAGAGGGGGAGCACTTTTACAGAGTCCAGAGAGGTGATACTGTACTAAGTTTTATGTCTCGCATGTTGAGAAACCACAAAGCAACAGTACCAGTGGACAGAAGCCTTTTTCAGTCATGAAATGGCAAAATGGGTCTGGATATTTTCCAGAGTTTGACTTTCACATTATGAAGAATGCCGCAGGAGATTGTTCCAGTCAGACACGGAAAATGTCCTGAACATTCAGAGGTGGCGTCTGAGGGGAGCATGGAGGAGGCCTAACATAAATTATTCTCACATTTCCTCAGAGCTCTGACTCGGACATTGGCGTTCTCACAAACTGGAGAATGGAAACTTTCAGGAAAATGTCTGGACTTCAGTACATCTCTGAGAGCAGCTAGAGAAGAGGTGTGACAGCTGCCTGTAATAGAAATCTGACAAGTGTTCCTTCACAACACAGTGTTGGTTTGAAATGGAGACAGAAATTTCAATTTGTTTAGGAGATTTTTTTTCTTCAAGTCAATCACCTGTGGAAATGACAGAAGGGCATATTGTAGCTGACAGACAACACCAATATAATGAATGATCCACTTACAACCTCCACAGTCTGACAGCAGCACTAAAATAGTTTGTCAACATCTGTGCAGGATCCCAGCTGCTTCTCTGATATTCAACTCAGCCTGAAATGTACATAATGACTCGACTAGAGAGAAACCATATGATAGACTGAAGTTGTCGCAGCTCATCTTGTGTGTGAACAGGGCTCCGACCTCCTTAAGTCTGCTGCTGCAGCGACATTCGCACAACCACAATGGTGCCTCCACTCTTGGATTATGAGAGAAAATGAGTCATTCTCCAATATTACCTGCAAAAGGTCTAGGGGATTTGGCTTGTGGCCGTTTGCTCCCACGCCCGGCCTAATGGTTTTGGTTATACAAGCACATCTTTCCCCATTTGTGGCCCTGCTATTGTCAGAGATGGGTCTATGAGTGTAGAGCTGGTTCTTTGTTGAGATTAGAGATGGTGTGTAAATTTGTATCAGGACTATGGTGACAAAAATGATCACTGTTATTGGTAAGATCATGTTATTATTTCAAAATGTGCTGAAAATGTAAACACTGAATTAATTTGTGCAAGCTTTATATTGAAATGATATATTTATTATCAATCAAAATAATAGTATGGTACCAACACCATATCAAATGTGAAACATTCAAATTGAAGAAGGCTTTCGTTTTATAATGAATACTTCACATAACTTATTTAAGGGAAAGCTTACATAAGTAAATCAAATGTGCACGAACAATACAGCCCTGATGTCTGTTGTTGTTCATCGACATAAAATAACACAAAACAAGCGGAGCGGAGGAGAAAAGGTTGATAGTTGACAACTCATTATTTTAAGTGCAAACACTGATCCCAAATGTTATAAGCAGACTCATGCTGTGTCTGTACCAACCAATCACCGATGGAATAACTCCCAGCAATTTTACTACTGTATACCGAGAAACCAGTTACCTTTTCATCCATGTGAGTATGGTTGGCTGGTTTCTTTTCTGCTTCCTGAAAGTGAGTTTATCAGGATGAAGTTGAGGCTTGTGGGAGGAAATGAGTAAATCCAAACTAATCAGTTCAGTGATTGTCCTCCAGTGGCAGAGAAAAGGCCTTTCAAGCCCTTGTTCTCCGAATGTCAGGGGCTGTCTCTGCTGATCCCCCACTGGTCAATCTTCCAGGTTGGTGAGAAGACGATAGAGAAACACAGCCGCTCTCTGACCTCAGCGGTTTGCCTCCACCTTGATAGAGTGCTATCGGGAAGCTGGTGGCTCGGATAAGCACTGAAGGTTTGGCTCGGCTGCACACTTGATTTTTACTCGAGCCAGCAAACCTCAGGCAACAACATTAACACCTCGTGACAGGGTCTGCATCATGAAGTCATTGTGTGACATGTTCAACCTGCTTTCACAAAGCACAAAACGAGAGTAGATAATAAGAGCAGCTTTTTTATTGCTAAGGCAAATTGGAAGTTGAAATGTATCAAATATACTGTTAACAGTTTGAAGTATAATGAACTTAAACACTTAATAAATAAGTGCAAAACTCTAAAAATCACATAATTAATAAAACCTAAACCAACTACATTAATTTAACACTAAAAACAGTTTGAGTGCTTCATACAGCAGAATACTCCAGCTCCAAACTCGCCCACACTGCCGGCTGTGGCTTTCGCAGTCGTGTTGTTTAATTTGCATTAGTGTTTTCCGTTTAAAGCACTGTGTGGGACTTTAAAGGTCCAGTGTGTAAGATTTAGGTGAAAGGGAACTATAAACTAGAAATTTAATGTAGAATAATCCTCATGATGTTTTCACTAGTTCGTTCCATCTAAATTATATGAATTGTAGTTTACTTTACCCCAGAAAAGGCCCTCTATATTTGAATACTTTATATTTACATCGAGGGGGTCCTCTCTGTGGAAGCCGCCATGTTTTTCACATTAGTCCAGACTGGACAAACTAAACACCTTCTGAGATTGTATGACAACTGAAGGCTACCACAGTTTCTTTTTCATGTTTGGAAGTGGAGGGTGACGTGAGGGGTGTTCAGCTGCAACATGCAATTTCAACACCAGATATCACAAAATTCTACACACTGAACCTTTAACACATTTGGCTGAATCCAGTTTGAACTAGCTACTAGCTAACTGTAGGCTAAGGTTACGAGCTGTAAGAGCCAAGTGTGTTGCCACCAGAGTTAAGTGAATTGTTAACTAGGGCACCTGCTGTGATGTTAATGTCTCCTGTAAGCAGGGCAAATCTGCGTTGTGATTGGGTCTGGTAGCTGCTGGAAATTTTGGATTTGTTGCCTGATTGGTTCCCAGTTTTGACCTAGCTGTAGGCAAACAGAGCTCTGATACCATTTTTTAAAGTATCTGCATAAGTGGCCACTAAGTCTAATGGAGAGGCTGAATGAATAAAATGATCACGGCAGCTTTACTGAACTTGCTTTTTAATTTCACGTGTGTTGTAGATGTGTTGTAGGCTGATTGTTGAACACAGCCATTGTGCAGTGGCGTAAAAACCATAAGAGTGCACTATACCGATCACATCATCGAGGACCGAGTGACAGAATTTAATAACACGCATTTGCATTTTCCCAAAGAGGGGGAGTTAGTCGTCAACAGGCGCATAAACAAACGGCTTCATACAGGCACAATTACACTGCTTTTGGAAAGGAGTTGCGTAACAACAGCCAGCAAAGTGGCAAACCTAAATTACTTATGAAATTGCTTCTCACAAATTACACAGGACAGCTAGAGTGCGGTAAAAATCAAACAAATGCTTTATGGATCACAAAAGAGCATAAACAGTGCTTTTGTGTTGCATGTACACATACAGCATGTGTGCAAGGGAGCAAGGAGTTTATTATCTTTAGATTCATCCAAGTTGTCACACAACATATTTTCTGGTTCTCTAGTGGAAAGACATTACCCCAAAGCACCTTTGAAAAAGAAAAAAAGACCCGTCCTCCTCTGCTTCTTTCAGTGACACAGCACTCGGCTGGTGTCCTCAATTCATACCCTGCAAAGGACCTTGAACCACCGCTTTTACTTTTCTACACAACCAGACATTTTTTATTCTAGTCTGCCAGGTCCCCGCTCCAAAAACTGTGGAGGTGTGCGGCTGCTTTGGCATTCAGAAGACGGGTTAACTTTTCAAAATGTGAATGAATCACTCCCCATTATGTAAATCTGAAACATGCAACAGTGAATATGATATTCAGAGTGAACTGTTGACATCTCTTATATAATATGATGCTATGATGCCATTTGTGTTGACCGTGATCACCACAGTCAAACTCTTGTCTGTTGAATTTCATGATAAAGGTTCGGCCACATACACACATATACATGTACAGGATCACAGGAGCCGCAAGGACTCTCCTGTGATGTCCTGTCCCAGTTATTATATCTCCGAGTGCAGCAGCCATTCAAATACCACCACTAATCCAATTCACATTGACCCAGAATTAGTCGGTCATTCTGCCTGGCTAGAAAAAGAGCAGCACCCCCTTCTCTTCAACACCTAAAAAAAACACCCAAAGTCCTAAAAGCAATAGAATCTTTTTTTTATATTGTCTGCACAGCCGTCATGATATGTAAAAATATCAGCATTGTTCAGTTTAAAGCACGTTGTGGGTGACTGTGCGTCCTAAAAACTTCAGAGGATAAAGGGAATGTGGGTGGAGGGAGAGATGTGAGCAGAGAAACCAAAAGAAAAAGATGGAAATGAAGAACCAAACTAAACCGAGAGAAAAAGTCTAGGTGACAGGTTAAATGACAGGTGGAGAAAATGGAAAAACGTGAAAAGGAGAAGCTGCATGTCAAAGGGAGGAGGTGGCAGCGGAGTCTAATGGGAAGAGGCAAAACTAAAATGACAGGCGATGGCTCGTTCTAAATCACGCTGCCCCCAGAACTAAATCCCCCCATTAGCCATGACTGCAAGGTCGATGATGCACACCCAGATGTTCTCCTCCACACTGAATCTGCTCATCTACACTTGATTATGGGATACAGAAGATTTATTTTTTAACCTTGTTTTTAAAGTATCATTAGTTTAAAAAATAAATTATTATTTTTCTAATTATAAGGATAACTTCTACTTGTGTGTGAAATGGACAATCTGTTGTTTCATTGCATGCAGATACTGAGAACTCTAGAACCAATTGACTGCAAACTAGAAGACATGAGCTGTATCTTAGTTCAGGGGATGCGTCCTTTGGAGGCTGCACATGAAGACCAATTTCGTAACAGCGGCACCACTAGGCTGTCCCATTTCCAATGCTCCTTAAATTGCGTCCTCCCATCCCCAGGAAACAAAGGCACCAACGGGTAGCTCTTTCCTGACCCAAGCTATCACAGGATTCATTGCGCTTCAGTGACAAAGAGGTAATGATGCCGTCAAGTGACGAGACATCCGATGCTTCAACTCATATGAAAAGCTAATGTTAAAAACCAAGGGGCATTAAATCTTTATCGTCTCGTCCAACTACAGCTCTGTTGCCCGGCAACAGCCATAAAGCCTGGACAAGCTGGTGACACTGATCACGGAAAGCCTCTGTAGACCTGCGTCTCATTTGGGTTTGGCCTTTACGGTCTACGCGATCCATAAAAGGAGGCGGTCTTTGTGGGTAAGCCCTGAATTGAGACACAGGGAAGAGAGCAAGGCTAATTACTACCATTTTTCGCAGTGCTTTCTACATGATCCTCTTTAATTCATCCTCCAGCAGATAAACAGTTATTCATTCTTTTGAAGCTTCTAAACTTGCTTGCAAAGGTTTATATGTCTTGTCTTGTGGTGAGTAGATAGTCCTTTATTGTGTTATACTGCAGCAAAAATAATATTCTACTCTTATTACACAATAAAGCCAAAGTTATAATATAATTGTTTCTAATTTATTCGTTGGAACGGAGGAAAGTAGAGGGATATCCTGTAGAAAATATAGTCCAGAGTACTAAGGTTCATCCTCCAACACAATGCACAACTTGGGCCAAACCATACATCTGTGGAGAGAACTAATGAATACCTGTCTACTAATACAATCCAGCCTGACAGAGCTGGAGAGGATCAGCAGAGAACAAAGACAGAAAATCCGCAAATCGAGGTTTGACAAGCTTTTCACGTTATTCCAAAGAAGACAAGAGGCTATGATCACTATCACTGGTGCTTCAACTACTGTAAGTACCAGGTAAAGGATCATAATACTGAAGTATGTGTCAATAAACTTGCAATGGTCTCTTCTATTTACTTTGTCATTAAGGGGCATTAAGTATAGATTCATTAATTTGATATGTTTTTGGCATAAAGCTGCAGCATAAAAACGTGAAGTGGTCTGAATAATTTCTGAATGAATTGCATTATCTCAGAGGTGACGACACAGAGAAAGAGAAGGCTAATGAAAATAATGTATCTGCAGATACAAATTCCCCAAATGTGCACGCGTACACGCACGCACGCACACGCTCTGATATGCCTTAACATGAGTAAATAGCACCAGCCGAGACCTGCAGCAGCCTGTTGCTAGGTTACCTCTTTAGTGATTCTTTCTCATCCTGGATAACAAACAGCTCCTCTGTTGCCTAGTGCGTGCACGCACGCACACAGTGAGTGAGGGAGGGGAAGAGAGAGAGAGACAACACACAAACATTCTCCATCTCTGTGTGGACAGAGAGAGCACCTGTCTGCTTTATGGGTTTAATCTCAGTGAGAACGGATGGTGAGTGGAGGAACGAGGGGACACTCACTTGGCCTTCATGTCCTCTCCACCCCTCCCTCTCTGCCCTGCTCCCCTCCGAGACAGCCAACAGATAGATGAATGTGTGGGAAAGGACGGCACCCAGGAATCATTTTTCTGTATGAGGCAATATTGGAGATTGTGGTCAAAGGACTAAAGCAAAGAGCAGAAATGCATTATTCCTGTGAGAGCAGGATTTCTGAAAAGTATGAGCGCACAGCCGACAGGACGGGGAAGGATTCGAGTTTGAGACATTTATTTAAGGATGATGGCAAAGCTGCAGAATACTGGAGATGATTTGGAGTGCAGTGTTACATGTACACCTGATCAAACACAAACAGAGGAAGTGGAACAGTTGTGAAAGCTGAATGTTTTCTGATTTAGACACAAGAAAGATATGTGGTTCTATAACACACACATTTGTTTAATTTCCTAATTCAGTTTACAGAACTGCAGCTTGACTTTAAGGAAGAGTTTAAAACACATGATAGTATTATTGAAAAGAATATTAATTTATGCTAATCATACATGGTGAAACTAAAGACACTGTGATCACACAACATATGAGTCATAAGTTAATAACTTTACATTTTTAAGTATAATGATTCATTTTGCTAGCTGGTAGCAACACATCCTCCCTGAATTCCTGGGTAAAAGAAACTATGAAGCCATTCATACAATATATACTTTTTTATGGTTTCTGCAGGTTTCTTTTATAACCTTTTTAAAGACTGTAAATTAATTTTAAGACCTATTGTGAGTTGTAAGCAGAGTCCCACATTTACACATCCCCATAATTGAAGGTAAGGTGAAGTATGCCAGGGGAAAGAGTGTACTGCAATAATTCTGACCGGGGTGTAGTATCATAGTATTATTTTGAGACTCCACGGAAACCCTAATTTTCTGTATTTGATACCAGCAGGAGATTTAACATTGACATTGAAGAGTCTTACAGACACAACCTGAGCAGTGTGTTGTCTTCCCCTCTGAATTTCTCTCATCCTGTCTTCCTCTGCAGCAAAAAACTGTTCCTACTTCAAACACTTTACATCGGGGGAAGAGGCTGAAGTTTTTGAAGTCAAGACCCAGAAAGGTGGGTGCCTTCTCATTACCACACAGATTATAAAAGTGATAACAGAAACCATTTCCACTAAAGTAAAAGAAAATGCAGTGTGGAGTTAATAAAATTTACCACATGTGCATGAACATCACATACCCACATTGTACAAAACAGAACATGTGTGGAAATGCATGTGTCGTCATGTGTGCAACCCTGATGACAGACAACACTATGCTACAACCCCGTCCTCTACATTAGTTTTCTAAACAACTGCAATAGAAAAATAGATTTTGTAGGATACACTAATGCTGCCTGGATTATGTGATGTTTCATGGTTACACTCCAGACCATCGCTCACATCAGATAAGAAAAGAAATCTGCAGCCATGTCCTCTGATTTTCATCCATTTATCTCACCTGCTGCAGCAAGATTGTTATATTCAAAGTTAACGTATTTCCAGGAAATAGCTCCTACACAGGTCCAACAATGAGCTTTAGACGCTGAGTTCAAGGTTAATTTACACATTTGTGTCGCTCCACTGTCGAAATGCTGGAGTGGAATCAGATCATTTCCATCACAGTTGGAAAAGAAAGAAAGAGTAGATTATCTTTATCTGACAAACAGACAGGATGCGAGGTGGGTGGAAGGAGAAAGAGATGGTCTAATCATCTCTTTATAAGCCTGCAGCATCTTATCTGTCACGCAAACAGCATTATTGCCAGTTTATATAAATGACTGTTGTTTTTTAAGTGAGGCTTATTTAAAGGCTAATTATCTGTGTCATAACTCGCCTGAGTGCAATATTGAAACAATGATTATGTAAACGATAATGCTGCCTCCCCTTCTGTTCCTCCCCAATCTCTCAATTTTTAATCGCCACAACTTTGCCGTCTCCGCTCCTTCCACATCTCTCCTCCTCGCTGTTTTTTGTGCCGTCTTCTCCATCTTGCCGTCTCTCTTGCATCCCGCCTCTAATTGTTTTTCTTCCCTTTCCTCAGAGTACAATATCTCAGCAGCAGCCATCGCCATATTCAGTCTGTTCTTCATGATCCTGGGCACTCTCTGTGTCATCTTCTCTTTCGGGAAGGGCCGTGACTACCTACTCCGACCCGCTGGGATGTTCTTTGCCTTCGCAGGTCAGATATATAACAGATAATGTGGATCACGAATCTGTTTTTTTTTCTTTTTCTTATAGCTAAACCTGAAATGTAGTGTGTCATCGTCACGCACACCTTTTCTTTTGCTGTGAATATTACTGACGCAGCTAAATTAACAGAGTTGAAAAACTAAATTTTTTTTCCTTTGCAATCACTTTTTTCTGTTTTGGCACCCAGGCCTTTGCATCATCATTTCCGTCGAGGTAATGCGCCAGTCTGTCAAACGTATGATTGACAGTGATGAGACCATCTGGATTGAATACTACTACTCCTGGTCCTTTACCTGCGCCTGTGCCTCCTTCACTCTTTTAATCCTCAGCGGAGTCGCCCTGCTTCTCATCTCCATGCCCCACATGCCTCGTAATCCTTGGGAGACCTGCATGGACGCCGAGCCGGACACCTTAGATTAGCCACAGGTGATGTAACAGGCATAGTTGAAATGAAAACACATAAGCTCCCTATACCAACCCACGTATTTATCAATCCTGCAAGCGATTTCCAAAGCATTAGCCCTTGTGCACCGAGTTAATAACAGTGAAATCAAAAGAAAGCTGTTTGAATTGGTTTAAATTGTGAATTTTTTATCTATAACCTGCTCAGGGAGGGGAGTATTTTGTGAACACAGAGTATTTTAGTCATATTACAGGCAAAGAGGTACAAATTCAAAAAATTCCATAAAAATCTACACAACCAAAATGAAGACAAAAAGTAAAACAAAAAAAACAAAAGAAATCCCCCAGTGGGTCATCAGGGTTAAAGAGGGTTTAGTCTGGTTTCCCCAGACTTAAAATACAGACATACAACAAACAGATAAGTCAGGATCAAATGTTGAGGCTAAAATTACATCAAAGTAAAAGACCTTAAGAAACATTAAAAGTCTGGACTAACTGATCATGTGAATCATGGATAGTAGTAGAGCGTATACCTCAAGGCCCAACTGAACACTTATGAAATCACATTTGAATTCACTAGATCTGGATGTTTCTTTGCAATTGCAGCTGATTGCACACGAAGGAAAATGTTGAAAAACGCCCGATCTTGTAACGTTGAAAACATATGAAAACTTAACGTCCTTGGCGGAGGTAAAAAAAACAAAACACCTTAATAACAGATTCCATTGCGCTATTGAGGCTAATGGATCAGAGGCTCCTCAGTGCATTACATCATGACTTTCGCTCTCTATAACTGATGGTTATGAAGCAAACCTCCATAAACATCCATTTAGAATTTCTTTTAAACTTTGAAAGATTTTGATGTTTGTAATGTTTTTTCCTTTGCAATACTGCAGCACTATTAAGTTATATTACTTTTCTTTCTGTGTGCCCAAAGCTAAAAACATATTTAGGGTAAGTATGATATAGACTTTATGTACTTGAATTAATGCATATGATTGTAAAATAGTAGTTTAAAGCTTGACGAGTTTTCTGTTCTGTAGACTGTACATTTTTGCTGTCAGATGAAAACCTCATTCAGAGCAACAGACTTTCTTTTTGTTGTGTTTTTTAATCACAGTCTCATTCAAATCAAAGCTGACCTTTTCACTTTTCACGTTTTACTTTTCAATCTGGTTTCACCTGAAAGCAGCAGTAATTTCTATTTCCTGTGTATACCTTACACAAAGGTTGTATATTGTTAGCAAAATATTAATCTTCGTCCTAACATTTTACATTTGAATTATATTTCTGGCCCTAGAGTCAGTCAGCTGGTGGAAATGCAATGATGCCGTTTCACAGGGAAAAACAAGGAGTGATAACATTTAGCTCTGGGGTCCGACTGAGAAGAACATTTCCATTTTTCTTACTGCAATCAAAAAATGTGACTCGGTCATTGTACAGGTTTATATTTTAAAAAATTGAAACAATAACCTGTCAGTTTTTTTAATCAACTATTTTATATAATTTGCACTGTCATGTTCAGCTGGACAGGAACCAGCTGTTATTTTGAAGTAAACTGCGTAAAAATAAGAGATGTTTTGTTTGAAGAAATATTCACCTCATTGTAAACAACTTGCCAAACTTTTTATTTTAGATTTGTGAACGCTCTAAGTGTATGTCCATGATTGTCTTTTTTTCCAGAGAGGAGACTAAAATAAAACTATAAAGGTCAGGATGGTATGACTTTTTGTGCACATTGCAAAGCAAAAGACTTTATAGCATTGGTTTTCCCCGGACATAACATTTACCATCACTCTTTTAAATTATAATATAAACTAACGCATAATCATGTTATTTTCCCTCCGCTTCCCTTGTGTTCATAGACAATTTAAAATCAAGTAAGGTTGCAGATTTCTTTTTGATTTGCTTTTATATGTTTATCTACTGACAAAGGAAATAAAAAAACTGGCTTTTTCCAGTCTTTTCTTTACCAGGTGTTCCGTGATCCTCATGTCGTTGCTCACACATTCACACACAGAGTCACATTCAGTGCAGGAACCTCTCAACCAGAAGAAGTGGTTAAATTGAGAGACAAATCTATTGGAAATGCTCCAGAGACCTAACACGCTGCAGGTCAGAGCTTTTCAGGAGAGGCTGTAATAGATGCACAAAGCTCCTTAAATCATTCATCAGATCTTTACCTGGAGCAGTGAGAAGAGCACAGGCAGAGCGACCACTGATTCACAGCCATATGTCCTCTCTAACAACTACATGTGTTTAGATCCCTGGACTCCCCATACATTTACAATTTCACCTGTTTACAAACCATGCAAGGAACAATCTGTTTCGTATTTTGTGAATGAAAATAACACACAAAATTGTTGTGTTCATGGATCACACATTTTTGAGCCCAGGCTGGAATAAAAGCTGGACGAGGACACAGACGCATTGGAAGCGAATGTGTTTGCAGATGATGTTGAGTGTTGACTGTGAACACTGACCTGGAAAAACAGGATTTACACATTGTACACAGACGGATGTGTCTCTGTAAATAATTTAAATTTGCTTAATGGATAAAAAAAATAAATAAAGCAACAAAAATGGGTGTCCTTGCTGTTGGATGTATTTGTTGTGGGAAAGGTCAAGCAAATGGTTAAGATTGCTTTCATATCTGTGTCTCACTTGTGTTAGTGCCTCATTCTTATCTAATTACGTTTACAGATGCTTCAAGTTACTATATAGTATTATGTTTTGAAACCTTAAAACCTTGTGAACGTCTTTGAATGTGGAATACAGGTAAGTAGAAGTATATCATTAGAATAACCATTATTAGATCACTTGAAGATAAAAATGTCTTGTAGAAGTGAGAACAGGTTTTAGTGGAAGTGTGAAAAAATAATGTTAATAAGAGTGCCATAATTGCATGGGGGGTGGTTTCATCTTACTGTTGTTGAGGGTAAAGGTAAAAGGAGCCTTGTCCCTGTGAGACAAATTGTGATTGATACAGAAAAAACATTTTTAAAGATAAGAAAAGAGTAAACGCAAGATAAAATAAAAATTATTAGAATAATAAAAAATCTTAAAGTCTGTCTAGGAGTGCTGGATGCTACGGAAGAATAAGAATTTAAAAAAAATGTTTTTGAATTAAATCTTATTAGTAGTGCAGACACATGAGCACAGCTCGGCCTGGGATCTGGCCTGGCTCCTGCACTTCTGTGTCACTTTGTCAATGAGGTATGCTGATGTTTGCTTGAGTCATCCGGTTCCTTTGAGTCACCGCTATGAATGTAAAGCCACCGCTCCCTTTCATGACCTCTGACTGAGTGCTGTCAAAGCTGTTTCTATTCTCAACACACAGCAGTACAGTACAAGCATTTTCCATTCAGGCATGTCCCTCAGAGAGCGTATGAGCTGGCAATTTTATTTTATTTTATTTTTTAAATCACAGGGTTAGATTTCTCACAAGTCTGGTGGACAAGAAGACGAAGAAGGTGAAATGCAACTGAAATTATGAGGCCCGGTGAGGGAGCGAGGACAGTGACCGAGAGAGAAAAAACGAAATCTGGAAAGAGTACAGATGGACACAGGGACTGACTGGCAGAAGAAAACGTGACACTCCCAAGAGATTTCAAGCTCTGCCAGCGAGAGGCAATGACAGAAGCCAAACAAAGAGGGAGCCACACTTTTCAACAGCGACACAGAGTGCACCATTTTCCCTTTTTTAACTCTCAACATGCTCCAAGTGCCTGGTAAGATCACTGGGATTTTATCAGAGGTGACGTGGATGCGCCCAGTTCTCGCTGACGCCCTGTTTATACAAATACATGTCTCATTGGAGTTCAGGTCTTGTTCACACCTGGTATTAACATCTGTCCTGAGATATCTGATCACAAGACTGCTCAAAATTCATCTGTTCACACCTGGTGTGAAAATATTTCCTGATGCATCTCCTGCGATTGGATCGCACTTCCCCGTCCTTTATGCAAATAGACATGCACCAGGAGCGAACGAGCGAGCGAGAGAGAGAGGAGTCAGAAGGGGCTGCTGTGTAGATAGATTTTTGCTATTTAAGTAAAGTATCAACCATTATGTGTTGGTCTGAGAAGCGTAAACATTAGTTTGATTCAAGTAATCGGATCTCAGGACGCATGCACAGTTCACACTACTTGCTGTCCTGTGATCGGGATCCTGGTGTGAATTCTTACTACACAACTGACTGGCAAAAGGATCACACAAAACACCACTGCATGGATTACCATGAAACTAGGAGGGAGGTTGCAGTATGGGTCAGGGAGGAACTCATAATCCAGATCTGGGGGATGGATGCTGGGATTTTTGATTCATGAGGTGGGTCTTGGGGGATCTTCTTATAATATTGACTTCATAATTCAAACTGGTCTATTTACCTGTCAAAAAGGTTTCAGTGAAGTTAAGCTAAAGAGAAATAAAGCTGTGTCTTCAAAGAGAACCCATCTACGCTCTTCCACTCAGGGCAACAATGACAGCATCACTCGAGGTTGCTTGAAGTTCTACTTTCACCTACACCTCTCTCTTTCCATTCTGCTAAACCATATTCATCGTCCTCTCTTCCTTTTCTTCTCCGACACTTATTTTATACCCTTCATTTGTCCCGAGTTCACTCTTTTTGTGTGTGTCTCTCTCTGTGCTGCCCACACTCTCTTCACACTTATGTCCTTCTCTCTTCTAGCAGATATTTCATGACTTCTTTTTCTGTCTCACATCTTATTTTTCCCGATCTTTTTCCTCTACTTTCTTCAGCGGTGCACAGAGGAGAGGAGGGCTCCCCCTATTCTCCCCCTTCGCTTTCATTAATCAACCCGTTTGTTTCTTTGTTTTTCCTTCTTCCTAATCGACACCTCTCTTCTTCCTCTCCTTCCCCCTCTTTGACTCTTTCCTCTGCAGTGACAGTGAGCCATTGGTTCATTGCCACCCCTTTTTTATCAGCTTTTTCTGTCCTCCCAACTTCCCTCCCTCCCTCCCTCCCTCTATCATTCTGCTCTGCTGCTCTCTCAAGCAGGCACTCTGCTGTCTAATGACTTGGATCGGTGGTGACTGTTGAGTGGAGATAGACATGTAATAAGGCAATCGAACCCAGTGCAACGTGCTGCCAGTGTTACATCTTAACACTACTGTACTCCAGCCTGAAGGCAGAGTGGAGGAAGAGGAGCTGATGAACTGAATTCAACTAAATCCCATGCGTTTACCTACTTCATACTAGAAAAAAAAAAAAAGGGCAAGTCAATTCAAACAAATGTCGAAGGGAGATATTGGAGAGTCGTCTCCATTAAACGTTACTGTAAAGGTCCATGTTATGTATGAGCAGGTTTTTTATTCCACAGTATACAAAGAGAAGATTGGATGGAGAGAACAGAAGTTGTGATATCAGCATCTGTCAAGCTCAGAGGGTTTGAGTTTGTGTAAAATGTACAATTCATATACAATAAATGTTCCCCAGGACACACAGTGGATGGATATACACACACAAATACATGCTATGGTCTTGCTGCCATGGGCAACAAGAGCAGCCAAAACTCCCACTGTTTTGTTATTTTTTGTGAATTATTAATCCAAGTCTGTTTTCACAATCAATACGGGGGAGAGGTGGTAGAAAAGGTCAGGGAATGACACACACGCGGTCGCATACGCACACACACAAACAGGAAATAATTGTTAAAAAATGATGAGCATGGAGGCGTTATTCAGTCCACCCCGTGTGGAAAAATAGATTTGAACACTACCATTATGCTTGTTTTTTTTCTATTATGTAAGAGAAAAGCAGAGACAGGAAGAGAAGAAATGAATTGTACTCTCTCTGACAAAACCAGCAGAAAAGACAACATATTATTTTGTAATAATTTATTTTCTCCCCTTATCTAAGTTTGTCTTTATTTAACTGTGTTGTACCTTACTTTGCTCTGAATTCTACCGTTTTCCTTTTTCTCTCTTTCTTTACTTAAAATAACTTTCCTCTCATATTTTGTGTTTTATGTTTGTACATCATTTTTGTTATCTAACTTGTCTTATAATAGATGATTCAGGAAGAGAAAAAAATAGTGAATTATATATAGAATTGAGATAAAGTGTATAGCACACAGCATGAGTAAGAGTATAAATTAAATTCCATGCTGATCCCACCTGAAATGGTATGAGAGCCGTGTACACCCTGGAATATAGTCGGCCTCAAAACAATACTGAGACTGAGACTGAGCCAATGGGAGAATACAGCAAGAAAATGTCCAGCGAGTGGCGACGAAGTTGTCAACTTGGAAAGACAATGAGATTCAAGAGCTTTTGGTTTTTCGAGCTGTCATCGGTGTCGATGTGCTGTAAACAAAACCTGTGATTTCCACAGACATGTTCCTGTTGTTGTGAACGCATCTGACCTGAGAAATCTCCTGCTGCATTCTTCATATTTGAAAGGCAAAACTTTTCAGAGGGCTTTTCAGACACAAACCACCATTCCCAACTATGGTCCATTTAGAGTCTCTAATTCACCCAACCCCAATCTGCATGTCTTTGGAGTGTGGGAGGAATTCGGAGCACTAACAGAAATCCCGCGGACGCAGGTAGAACAACCTTATCGCACCACTGGTGCAATAAATAAAAATCCCACAAAATATTTCCTTGTGAGTTCCATTTTCTTTTGATCATCAGAGGACGGTTAGCTATTCTTGCTACTGT